AATCGCTAAAACTTTGACACTTTAAAGATATATATATATATATATATATATATATATATACATATGTAACTCGTTCTACGTTTTCCTTGGTAGACTAAGTGCACTTAATATTTCTGGACATAACCTCTAGTCTTCACCTGCCATTGGTAAAGGTAAGTTTCTTGGGGGGAAGGGGGAGGGCTGGCCCTTCAAAGGGAAGGGTAGTCAGTAATTACTTGAACTTTTTGAAAGATAGAACCTTTATATTTTGACGAAAGCTCATTGCAGGACCGTAGCCTTTATGAGGTAACCCTTTCAAAATTCTTGAATTGGCATTTCCGAGGGTCTCAATGCTTCAGTCTTCGCCGCTCCTTTCCCTTGGTAAATAGATAAATCATTTATTTCCAAAGATTCAACATATCGCAGTCCTCCCACTGAATTACGCGTTAAAATGAACAAGGCATCTAGTTTATAGCTTTATGTTTTTCGAGAATGCTATGGAAACGTCTTGTGATTGACGTCATCCAAAACCTTCTTCGTCGCGAAAGAACAATCGCTAGAGGGCGATTGAGGTCAACATTACCGAGAAAGATTAACGTACTTGTGAGTTGAGTTGTGTGTATAAAATATTCGAATGTTGTGGTTGTGCTTCTTAGTGGACTCGGAGAAATCAGCAGTCTCTGCTACTCTCAAATCCGAATATAAATAAAAATAGTGTCATTAATTTACACTTATTTACTGGGACCGAGGGAAACAGTTTGTTTTGTTGTCCCGAGACCGCTGATGTCCCACGAAGCGAACCCGAGGACCACAAAGCATACTGCTTTCCCGAGGTCCCAGTAGTTAAGTGCTTTATTATCATACCAAGTGTCAAAGAGAACAAGAAAATCGGGAAGACTCCTTGTTTACCCTGGTGTTTCGTGAAAGAAAACGTGTGAATGAATTTTGCAAACGCGCGCTCAAATGTGTTGCTTTCTGGTTTCCGGTTTTCATATTTTTTCAACCACGTGACTTCCGGTTTTGTTATTCCCGGTCCATAACATAATATTCCCTTACCAAAATGGTCGCCAGAAAGCAGTCGGATTTCTTCACGTTCACGTGACACACTCTCGACCAATAGAAACTGAGTAAAATTGAACTTTGACACTTGGTATAAAATAAAACTTGTTGTTGCAGACCTTGTAGTAATGAATATGCACTTATAATATATATATTTTAAATTTCTTGTAGTCAGTATATTCCGCGATAAAAAAAGAATAATAGCTTTTGGCAGAACACAATTGAGACCAGTAATGTTTAAATATTGTGAAATTATCGTATTAGCGGTTTTAGAGTTAAAATGAAAAATTATTACAAAATTACATTTTCTATGAAAATAAATTATTATATATATTATTATAAATCTCGAAAGTTTAGTAAGCTTGAAACATTTTTATCCCTTTTGAATATATGTTTAAAAAATCTCTCTAAAAAGCAATGGTCTTACCTTTACTTAAATATAATCAAATCCAAGGACTACTTGTACGGCAAGTAAAAATGGTACTTCTTAAGGTCCAAAATCCAAAATTTATTTTTTTCTTGTGGATCTTTTTTCAGGGAAATTTGCCATAAATGAAATACCCTAGTTATTGCCCTGCTCTCAAGCTTTTGGTTTAATTGAATACTTAGTCGAGCAACCTGGTTCAGAGCTCACGCAAGATGATTGTCTGAAAACATGAATTTGTTTGCACTTGTTTTCACACCCTCTATGTGCAAGTAAAATTTACATAATAATGATAATAATAATAATAATAATAATAATAATAATAATGTTTTCACACCCTCTATGTGCAAGTAAAATTTACATAATAATAATAATAATGAATCATCATCCCCATCATCATCATCATCATCATCTGATAATGATAATGATAATCATCATCATTATCATCACTGATAATAATAATAATAGTAATAATAATAAAGGGAAGAAAGTCTTAAGAAGTATACAGTAATAGCAATAAAATGAAAGTAAATTCAAACATTTCAACGAACATAAAATCACAGGACTCCCATGTGAATCTCCAAATAGATATCCGACAAGCCTGTGCACGTAGAAACAAGTAGTAAAGGTCACTACTCTAAAATAAATATTCAGTACGCGTGACTTTCGAAAGTAAACAGTTCTTTGAACATGATATAACACATCTCGTATGTCGTTTGTATCTATAAATGTAAATGATAGATTAAAATGTCTGGAAAATACATCACTGTATTAAGAATCACAAACCAGGGTTTTATGATTTACATATTTAGGTCAAAAAAAGTTTGCGGAGTTTTTCTCTATTACGAGTGTGACGTACTTTCCTACAATGTGCCAAATACACAAGACAATGTGCCCAGACCTGTAGATCTTTTCAGCCAATGAATGACTGAACTTCTGACTTTTTTGTGAGTTTGTTCAAATATTGAGTAAGCCGGAAAACCAAATCATGAAAAAAGGTTTTAAAGAAGTTCACAGAAATCTTGGAAGTTGTGTAACTGAAAATGCTGACTTTCCGAATAAAACCGAATAAAAATTCCTAAAGAATCTAGGAGTTTAATAAAAGGTAAGCGCAAAGCTAACTCAAAATATTCTCATCGGTCATGTTTACCAAATAAGGTATTTTAATATTGCCATCTTTGCATTAATGTGCATGCAATTTCTCGTGTTTGAAAAACCATGATCTATACGACTTTGTAGTAGTTGAACACAACCTTGTTAAAATGAAGGCATTTATTCCCAGAAATTAAATATATTATATAGTCAACTAATAATAGTAAAATAGTCACAAAAGAAAACAAGAAAATTAGGGTCTACCAGTGTATTATTAGTCTAATATAATTTTGGTGATTTCACTTTATTATATGCCCTCGCAAAGTTTAGCTAGATTTTGGAGATCGACTTTTGTAGCGTGAGAGCTAGCATGAGAAGAATCGCAAGACAAGCAATATTCAAAATATTTTTATAATACAATATTTTTCATTGGTAATAATTTTAGTTATAAAATGTCGACATAAGATTCGATTCTTCAATGCCTTCCGTTTTACTTTAAATTGCAAATGAACCCTWTGACTTTACATTCAGTACTGGTTCTTCATAAAGTAAATAGTTGATWGGTAAAATATTTCTTGATTTGAGTGATGCRTCTCTAAGYTATGAAGGTTTATACTTCCAATATGTTAATGATGATGACGTCAGGTAAGGTATTTGAGGGTTTTTGTTGCAACTTATACGATTTCTAAATAGTTAGGCATCCCGTGGTTCTCGAGTCTCACCTTTCCGAAAGAAGCTCTAGGTATATCAGCTTTCTAAGAGTTTTGTATATTTTTAAACAACATCCTAAGCATTCGAAATCGAAATTTTAGATGTATTAGTTTTGTTTACATTAGCCAACTTTTGTAATACCTTTGCTTAAAAGAAAATTTGAAAATCGTTTTCCCTTTCTCATGATTCTCGTCGCTCTCTCTCGAAAGTTCAAAAGTTATTGCGATGGAAAAGCTGTTCATAAAGGGCCATATTTTTGTATTTAATTAACGAATACATAAATCACATTATTATATATTTTATTTACTATCTCGCTTCTCATTGGCCGAGAGCCATCAGCCAGTCGATGATATCCTGTGAACTCGACATGATAAATGCAATATCTGTAGGTTTTCCTGCAGATATCGCATTTATCATATGCCAAAATTATTCAAGTTCATAATGGAAATTGATACGCTTGCTATTTCTTTGAAAGCAGAAACAGCTTTAAAATCGCTGGTGCATATTGATAGCTAGAATTATCTGTAGGTTGGTCTTCGTAATGAGTACAATGTATAATAACGTAAATTATCAARACCTCGGCCGTTTTATCTGCCTCAGCTTACGCCGCTTTGGCAGATAACACGGCCTTGGTCTTGATAATTTACGATATCCAAAATAACACATTATTTGTCGAGTTTCTCATATGATAGGAATACACAGAGTTTGTGCTATTGAAAGTTTGAGCCAATTATATGATGCAATTCTGATAATTGATTTATACATTAATTTAGCTATTTTGTCTCAATCTTCGTGTTTCAAGATAATCCCACTTGAGTTCATCCAGAATCTTTACTGACCTTCTATCACAAATGGAGACGGTCATCACTCTAGCAGATCCATCTGAAGGGTCTAAAGTGTATCACACATCTCTTTCCAACAATCCCCCCACACAGCACTACAACAATCGAATTATGGTAGTGCAAGGGAGTTGTACATTGTAATTAAGTTATCGTGGGGTACAAGTTGTTTGACACGCCTCAGACCTCAAATCCCTCATGAAACTTTCCTTAAAATGTTGCATCTACTCGATCCATTCAAGTAAATGATTAATCTATTTCAAGATTTCTATTTCCCTTACGAGAGATTTTTCTACTTGGATTTGAAATTGGTGCTCAAGATGTTTTATCTTGCATTGATTACCTATGATCATATATTTAGTCTTGACCACATTTAGCCTTAGCTTATTTGTTTTTATCCATGTGTGTATTTCACACAGATACATTTGTCATTTTGTTGGGTCTAGTTTGGTCTCAAAAGAATTACAATAGTTAAGCTAGTGTCATTTGCATAAATTCTCACAAGATGGATCATATACGTAGACTGTGAAAAGAAGTGGACCTAGGATAGATCACTGTGGTAAACCACAATTAATCTTACAGCTATCTGATAGTACACCTTCAATAAAAAACTTTTGTTTTCAATCTGTAAGTTTTGAAGCAAAACATTTTAGGCTTGTCTGGCAGATATCATTATGTTTTAGTTTATCCAGCAAAATTTATGGTCCATGCATGGTGTCAAATGACTTCTTGAGGTCTAAGAAGATGACTCTGTTTAAATGTCACATATCTATATTTAGAATCCAGTCGTTGTTAGTATCTATTTAAGCCGTCAAAGTGAAATGTACTCGTATGAAACCTGATTGGGAGTCTGAAATTAAGCTATGTTCAGTTAGGTAGCTGTAAAACTTGTTGAATATAATTTTATTAGCTAGCTTGGTGATTGCTGGCAATACGTACAGGAAAAGGGTTGTATTTGTTAGGGATGCATTTTTGTCATCTTTGTATATTGTTTTCACCTTATCTATTTTCCATTCGTTTGGGAAAACACAGGATTACAGGAATGGGATTGTATTTGTTAGGGGTACATTTTTGTCATCCTTGTATTCTGGTGTTACCTTTGTTGGAAACCTATTGTAGACTTTTCTTTAATTTTGAAGGAATGTTGGGTAGGAGTGAAATATTCTGAGCGCTGATTTGAGGAGGGCGACAAAATAGATGCTGGCCTAGGCCCAATTTCAGTAAAATGCAAGTTCAGAGCATTGCCTATTATACATGGAGTAGTATGATTTATATCATTATATACAAAACTTTTGATAGATGTTGTATTAGAACTACTGCCAAATAAATTTATAAATAAATTTAGATTTAATACTTTTTCATAATTTTACAATCCAATTAGCTTTTTTCTGCATTGAGTCTTTTAGCTATCTTCATCAGCTTGCCCCTACAWACATGAAATTGTTTAACTCTGATGCTTATATGTTCAGATCATAATTTTACATTTTTATATTTCTATTTTAGTTTGTAATGCGCGTGTGAGCATCTTCCTATGTAACACGCGCAATATAAGTATTAMATTTTTATTAACCAAGAAGCGTGTCTCTTTTTCTACCTTCTTGAAATAATTGACAAAATGTTTTTTCCACACTTATTTTGGTCAAAATTCCTATATTGCCTTAATTCAATAGTTCTTGGGCTAGTTTTGAGAGCTTGTATTTTTCTTACACCATCTACTACATTATGATCACTAATAACAATCTCTGAAACTCCATAATTGTTAAGGTTTGTAGAGTCATTTGTTAAGAACAGATCTATAGTTGAAGAGGTATCTTTTGTTACACCTGATGGTAGTTCTATATAAGTTGCTGAGATTTACATCACAATTCAAGTCACCAAGGATGATAACCTCAATCGCTGGTGACTTTGATTTTTCAAGTGGACGTTCAAACGCCTCCATCAAGATTATAGGAATTCTATGTTCCAATTAAGAATGGTTTGAAGTTTGTTTTTTTTAAACTTTAATACTTAAAGGGGCACTTGGATGTACAAATATAGCTTTGCAGAACAAGATGGCTCGCTTGCTGTCTGGGGTATCATTTAGTGGCGTTCACTTTAGTTGATGTTAATGATTTTTGATTGCTACTCACACACTTTATCTTCATCATTCATACAGGAGACAACTAATAACCGTTACATCCGAAGTGAAAGCTTCAGGGAGCAGCAGGTAAATATTCAAATATTAAAACTGAAGAGTCTCGGCGTTGGAAGACATGTTGGAAGTGAAATGGCTTGTCTTTGAGTTTGGAGACGGTATGGAATTATGTTGTAGAAGCTAAAGATATTTCGGAATTTCTAGTGAAAAAAGTGTGTTTCTTAATTTCTTGAAAGCTAAATTAAAAAAACACACACAGGGTCCAATATGAGGCCGGCACCATTCGCACCGTTTTTGATATTTATGCATTTCTCTAATACTACTCGAAACTTGAATTTGAAAATCAGTTATTATTAGTGTTGTTTGAAAGATGATAAATAGAAGCACGAACAAACCTTGCTTATACTCTATTATGTAATGTTATTAATAGAGCCCTAGACTTGTAGCTAACCACTTTTTTCCAATCATTCAAGTAAAAGTCTAATTATGTCACTAACATCCATGTTTATTATACTAAAGGTAGAAACAAACTCACACTTTGCAGAAGCTTTTCTTGATATGAACAATATATATCTGATATTTAAAGTGATTGTTGTAAAATACAATCAGTATTAAACTCCTGATAAGTTAGGTAACTACGGAGCCCTCTAAGGGCCATGCATTCTATTAAATTTTGGTCAAGTTTTTAGTCGAGTTTTCGGTTGTGCTTGGATTGCGCATGCTTGAATAGAAGAATGCAGGCTCAACCGGTGCTCAACATACGTCGTTCAAAATGGCCGGGATGCAAGAGGTTCAAGATTTAGAGCAAGATCAGTCTATAAATCAGGTAAATTTAGCTTAAATGAACCAGAAATCCATATGAATTTTGTGTCAAGCATGAAGTTGGAACCCTAGAATGAAATGGAACCCTAGAATCACCCTATCACCCTAATCTATACAAGAGTTAGTTGTGAACTGCTGGCTCAGTACAAGTGAGGTCAAGTAAAACTCGACCGAAAACTCGACCGAAAACTCGACCGAAAACTCGACCGAAAACTCGACCGAAAACTCGACCGAAAACTCGACTAAAAACTTGCCAAAATATAATAGAATGCATGGCCCTTAGAGGGCTTCGTAGGTAACTACACCTAATAAAACAGCGTTGTAGAGGTACAACAACTACTCATGTTTTGATTTCCTAACCAGCCATATATATATAGCGTCTTACTAAAATTCCTTCTACTTCAACTCAATCAACCAACGCGGTCGGCCAACAGTTTCTTAGCTCAGCTCTTTTGTTAGCTCTGTCTCTAAAGCAGGAATTAATTAAGATATATATTCAGCCTGTTTTTAATAATACTTCTTTTCTTTAGTGTTTGGCATATTATTGTCTTCAAATAGATATGCTTTTAGTGCCTTACATTTCCAACACAATGAAACGTGGCAATTATAAATGCATCTATATGCCTCTTTCTTCCTTTTTTTTAATTTTACGGAATTTAGATTGTTTTCAGTAAGTGTTAGCTTAAACGTTAGTGCATTAGCTAGAATATCGTTTGCAAATTATTCATGACTTGCCACTGCAAGTCCTTATATATTGCTTATATATTGTTTTAATTTTGAAACCACACTGTTAGAGTCAATAATACATATATACCAAAATTTCAAACTTTGATGCAAAAGGATTACATGAAGGGCTATTATGAACAATTCATGGCTAAAACAACCCTAAATTTGGTAACGTTTCAGCTCGATGAAAATTTAATTTAGCTCCTATGAATTCCAAAACAGCACCTCTATCTTTCAAATCAGCACCTTCATTATCCAAAACTGACTTGTGTTGGTTCGTTTTAGCTCCTCCTCTGAGTGTCAATTCAGCCCTTAAGACCAGGTCCAATTCAGCCCTTTGGAAACAGGGCCAAATCAGCCCAAAAATATGTGCCATATTTTACTCACCGAAACGGCCCCATTTTTGGGGCTGAATCAGCTCGATCGAATTTACAGTGTACATCAGTTATTCGTAAGGACTTACATTGTACAATCAATCCATGTTGTGCAAGTAGTGACTATATATGAAATATATAATTAGATTTTAAGAAATTACCATACATTGTTGTACATATCGTATAATTTAGAATTATGACACTATTCCTTATATATTGTTTTAATTTTGAAACCACACTGTTAGAGTCAATAATACATATATACCAAAATTTCAMACTTTGATGCAAAAGGATTACATATATGTATATTTAAAGTACAGCGACACACTTTACCACATGCAGATAGACAACTATACAAAAGTAGCATTGCCCAGGGTCGAATCCTAGAGCAGCTTTGTCATACACGACCACTCCCCATACAGAGTGGTTTTCAGGTTGTCCTTGACTTAATTTATGCATTTGAAATTGCACTAATGAAAGAGGTCACCGACATTAAGGTATTCTTACTTCAAACAGTATTTGTTCTAAGAAAGACAAAATAATCCCTCCCTCCTGATAAACAACGTTTATGGGGAGAGTGCATGATATTCTTCCTTCACACACTATGTAAAGGGCATCCAAATCATGCAGATCTCCCACTCCTACTAACTGTGGATGTGTAAACTTCTGCTTTTCATCATCTATGTTTGTGTCCCTCTGAAAATAACAAAAAAAACAATTTTTTTTCAATTTGCAGCAAATATTGTTCATGAAATGGTGATGAGTACTCCAGTTTTAAGTTCCCTATTGCAGTGTTAGCCTCAATTGCATGCAATATATTGTTTAGCATTGGTACAGCCCTTAGTAATGATTTTAGAAATGTATACAAATAAACAGTACAATTGCTTTAGAATTCCACAGGTGTCGTTCTAATTGCTGAATAATTTACGTACAATTGAGGCTAACCCAAAGCAAAAGGGAACTCGAAACTGGAGTATTGGGAGAGCCCACTTTCGATATCCTAGTTGAGTGATATTGCATACATCTTAAGAATATCTTATGAAATTTGGCAAAAGTTGGTTAAAGAAAAAAAATATTACCTGTTATCAGTCTTGACCAGACATAGCAGGCGCCATATTTGTAAGATAGTTTTGCATCTCTTTATTTTTTCCAGCATGTGTTATAATCTAAAGTGCATGGATTAATATATTCATTTGTTAATTTACTGCTGCTACAAAAAAGAGAATAAAATAGCTAGAATATTTAGTTGAATATTCATCTTTCACTCCACACGTAAACACTTGGACATTAAGGGAATTTATTCTAACCTTAGGTTGCCATTCATCAGTCATTGCTGGAGTCGAAATAGAAATTGCAGGAGCTTTTGTAGCTTTTTGAAGGGTCAATTTGGATTTATCAAGGGCCATTTCAGATTTGGATGGGGCTATTTTGGCTATCGTTTTCAAAACAGCCCCTTCGGGGCTTATTTAGCCCTTCTGCTAAAAGGGCTGATTTGGACTTTGGGGCTGAATCAGCTCGTCGAATTTACAGTGTACACATATAATGGCAAATATTATTATGATAAACATGTATCAATAAAGTAAAAAAATCAGTGAAAATTGAAAAGTAAAATAAAAATGAGCACTGTTAATAGTCAATATTCTACTTTTTGCAAGCTGAGACATTTTGAAAAAAATTTTGATTTACATCGATGTTAAATGCTTCCATACTTGAAGTATTCTTACTTTCATTGCTTAGCAATTTTCAGTCACCATTATGCTTAGCAATCTTTCACATCTATTATTATACTATCTATTATCTATTATTACACATTATTATCTGGATAATATGTAAACCAATAACCCGTTCATTATATATTTGTCTTATTGTTTGACAAAGTAATCACTGTAGCGAGAAAGAAGCGTAGAAACAAACAGTCTAATTTACTTTATATTTGCTATTTCAGTATTGTATTAAAATTTTCAATCACCATTATGCTTAGCAATCCTTCACATCTATTATTATACTATCTATTATCTATTATTACACATTATTATCTGGATAATATGTAAACCAATAACCCGTTCATTATTTACTTGTCTTACGTAATTGTTTGACAAAGTAATCACTGTAGCGAGAAAGAAGAGTAGAAACAAACAGTGAAGTTTAATTTACTTTATATTTGCTATTTCAGTATTGTATCAAAATTTATAATGAAGAGTACACCTTATCTTATTTAGTCCTTTAATTAATGGTAATTGAATTGAATGGAGTGCAATTTGGTCTGAAATCAAACGTGCGATTTGTAAATTGCAAGTTTGATTACAGACCAAAATTGCACGACACGAAGTTCAGTTACCACTTAATCATATCCTTTTTTTTAATCATGTACAAGAAAAAGACCCAATAAAGAGTGCAGAATGATGTAGTAATGCAGTGAATTTAATATAGTAGAACTAAATGGTAACAAAAAAAAACATCTAAGAAAAAAAWTTTTTTTTGATTTTTTTGTTTTATTTCGCTTTATTTTATCGCTTAAAAAATATATCATTTAGGATGCGATTAAGAGCTCCTAAGGATGCGATTTGGGAATTAATCGCACTCCTTTGAACCAATCAGATTGAAGGATTTGGTAGTGATTACAAAAAGGATATGATTACACTCTTAAAGTGCATACTTTGACACGAAAAAATTTTAATCTTAAAAATGTGGAGTTTATTAGCATTAACAAGAATATCACGGTTAAAAACGGTTTCAAAAACCTATTCCTCTAGAAATTCAAGAAAATTTAGGACAAGTTGTGACATCATTTTGTTTACAAGTCTCCAGATTAAGTTGCAAATACACGAAATATGTTTGAATGTAGAATCTTAATTTCAGGTAGCACACTTTTCAGTTTCCCAACATTTGAAGAATACTACGTAAGCTATCAAATGAAGCTGAATAGAATATGCAATTTGTTGTTATTTTGTACAAATTACAATTTATATTTAGTACTTTACTACCGAACCTAGAGTATGTGTCAACAAAATGACGTCACAAATTGGGCTTAATTTTCCCACATATCTCAAGAAATAAGCTTTTGAAACAAATTTCAATAAGATATATTCATTATAACTAACAAACTATACAATTTAAACAATGAAATATTTTCGTGTCATATACACTCTTAATAATTATTAATTACTAATTACTTTTTAATTTCTGTGGACATTTTGTTAAAGCCGTTATGAAAATAATCAAAATAATCATAAATATAGGATAAAAAGTAATAAAACGACTAACTACGTATTGAAAAACCGATCATCAAGAAAAATATAAACAATAAGGGTATGTCTTCTGTTATTTTGAGTGTTGATGGATGTCCCCTTTTTGTTATTTTTTTTAGCAAAATGTAGATGTTCAGTCGGCGCAAAAGAAAGTTCCGACGGAACACGA